GAGAGGGAGAGGGAGAGGGAGAGGGAGAGGGAGAGGGAGAGGGAGAGGGAGAGAAAGCATATGTCATCCAGGCCTGTGATATCATCAGTGACAGATGCATACTCCTCTCATGGAAGCTCTCTGCACTGATGCAAATTGGAACTCTTCTCCAAATTCCCAGCGCCATGGGATCCTTGAGAGGTTCAATGATTCACCCATGGCCACACAGCTCACATGAATCCAGGTCTTCCTGACCCCAAGGCCAGCCCTCTATCCACTGATTCATATGTAGATATACAGATATATGTATGACACACATGCACATATACAATTTGCCAATTTTTAAAATTTCTTCAAGCAATGGATATTTAAGTATCTACGTGTGTATATTCCTTACAATGTCTATTACATAGTAGATTCCTATAGACACACATATATGTGTGTAGATGTGTACATACACACATTTCTGGTCTTCATGCATATACAGTACATAAAAATTATGGCAGAATAGAATTAGGGACATTCTCCCAACTAGGCCAAAGTTGCAGGCTTGGTCTCTGGATGCATCTCCAGAGAATTTCATGTCAAACCTTCCATACACAGTACAGTCCAGCCTGGTGTGGCTTCCTTGTTGTTTTTTTATACTTCATTTCCCAGCTCTGTGCCTTTGTATTAGCTGTTCCCCATACCTGGTATGCCCTCCCTCCCTGCCCTCCACCTCTTAGAATTCCTGGTTTCCTTCACAACTCAGCTCAGGTGCCATCTTTTACACAAAGTCTTTCCTGATCTCACCGGCTGCTGGTTTCCTCCCTTGAATTGACAACTAGGTGGCATACTGGATAGAGTACTGGACTTGAAGTCAGGAAGGTGTTGTTCCTGGGTAAGTCACTTCACCTCTCCTTGCGCCTCAGTTTCCTCATATGTAAAATAGGGATGATAATAATAGCATAAATCTTACAGGATTATTGTAAGGATCAAATGAAAAGCCATATATAAAGTGCATATAAAACAATGTATGGTATAAATGCTGTTATTATTATCATATTTTAACTATTCTATATCTCTGATAAATATACGTGCTTTTGCTCCTGTAAAACATAAGCTCCTTGAGGGCAAGACACTGCCTCACTTTTGTTTTTGTGTCCTTTGTGCTTAGCACAGCAATTGGCACATATCAGGCACTTAGAGTCATAGATTTAGAGCTGGAAGGGACCCTCAAGGTCATCTAGTCCAACCCCCTAATTTTATATATAATAAAACTGAGGTCCAGAAGGGTGAAGTGATTATATCAATGCTTGTTGACTTAGTGATTGATTTGCCATAAATAATATTTAGGGAGTTGACTAGTGAGATCTGTGTGCACCGAGTCATTCATACTCTTTTACCTGGTCCCCCAAAGGACCGTGTACTTGTAAGATGGCTAATCAAGGTTAGGAATTCAATTCAAGTCAATGAACAAAGTCAACTCTCCAGGCCATGGGGAAGAGAAATTCATTCAGGCACTAAGGAGAAATTCTGTTTCACTCAACTCAGACTTGAAGGGACCTTCAGGGTTGAAGGCCATGAAGTTGTTCTTGAATAATGAAAAAAATAACGATGGTCCTAGAAAAGAGATAAGGCACATACCTTCCTCCCTCATGGAAAAGAGGTGGAGGATTACTAAGAATGAATATGTTATACATCACCAAAATGTTTCAAATGTTTTTTTGCTTGACTGTTTTCCCTTCTCATAAAGGAAAGGTTTAATGTGGGGGTCCAGGGGATAAGGAATGACAGAGATATGAAAACATCAAGTAAATGTTAAAGAAATTCCTCTAACAATAAATAAGGGTATCTTTAGGCATCCTTGGAGCTTGAACGTGAAAGCTGAAGTCAAAAACTTAAGCACCAAAATAATTAACTAACCAAAAATGCCTCATCCAAGGCAGACATGCCCCACACCAAAGGTCAGCCAGCCAAGATCCACAGCTACTGATACAATGAGAATTTGACTCATTCCTCTCTCCCACCCTCAGCACCCTCATACAACCCAATCCCTAAGAATGTATGCACTTCAATTATCCAGAAAAAAAGGCACAAAAATTATGGCAGAATAGGATTAGGGGACATTCTCTCAACTAGGCCAAAGCTACAGGCTTTGGAAGCATCTCTCGAGAATTTCATTTCAAACCTTGGGAAATGGATTGAGCGCAAGGCTCCAGATTGAAGCTGATTTGAGTTTTTGTTTCCTCAAAACCCAACCAACCCCTCATATCCAGCACACTATTCTGCTGCTCTGCAATTTTTTGTCTTGTTTCCAGGATACTTCTGGAATAAAGACCACATGGGACTCCCTGATCAGAACACACATACACACATACACACACACACCACCACCACCACTACCACCATGACCTCCACCACCATCATCATTAGATCATAGATTTAAAACTGGAAGAGATGTCAGAAGTCATGTCATTCAACCTCCCCTCTTTTACATAGGAGGAAAACTCATAGAGGTTAAGTTACTTGCCCAAGGTCACACAGGTAGTAAGTGATTTGAACCCAGGACCTCAGTTTCCAAATCCATGAGCCATCTTGCCAGGTCATATACTTCTCTCTCCAGCCAGTAGCACCAATGCTGGCTCATTTGTGCACATACACACACACACACACACACACACACGTGCACACCCTCCTACCTGCCTCCATGAGTTGGCACTGCTGACCGAAGACGTGGGAGAAGGTCCCAGACGCTGGAGTGGAGGTCACCAGCATAGAATCCATGGCTCTCTCCTCCGAGTCCTTGGAAGTGCTGGTGGTCATCATGGAGCTGTAACGGACACCCTTGCTGTGTCCTGCACATTCACAGGACATCACAGGACTGAAGGCAAAGGCCCCAGATCAGCCCCCTGGCAGGTGTGAGGGGAGTCAAGGGCCCAAATGATGTGAAGAATCAGCCTTCAGTTCAGTCCAGCCCAAACAAACATCTGAGCATCTCTTAGACCTGCTGCCCCCTCTCTTCCAGAATCTCAAACAATGCTACTCAATCAAGGAAAAATGAGAAGGAAAAAAACCCAGCCAAGCCTTGGTTTATCTGTAGGAGGGAAGAGGAAGGATTCTAAGTTTCCCCTAATAGGGGTCCTGTCTCCTCCAGAAGGGATGATGAGGACAGTATCCCCTTTGCCACACCTCCAGCACAGCCCCCTGGCAGGCCTGGCTGGTTGATAGCTGGTTGCCCCCCACTCACCCTGAGAGACCGGGAAGGGGTCCGGGTCTTTTGGGTTTGAAAGTTCAGCACTGGGACTGCCGAGGACAGCTGCCTCCAGCTTCCTTCCTCCTGCTGCCTGTCCTGGTGAGGTATGTGTTGGGGACCGGGGGGAAGGTGGTCTTCTTGGCCCTGGAGGGAGCCCACCTCCAGGATCTGGGGTCCCCCACGCCCAAAATAGTGGCTGGCCCAGTCGATGCCGTGCGTGAGAGTCTGCCTCTGTCTGTCTGCCTGGCTGAATTCAGCAGCAGCAGCAGCAGCAGCAGTAGCAGCAACAGCAATCCGCAGTAGGCACTAGACAGCCTCTTGGCTGGCAGCCTGGGCTAATCCTTCCCTACGAAATTGTGTTCTCACTCCCTCTCCACCCCTCCCCCCCAGTCCAGCCAGGAGGAAGAGATGGAGGGAGGTGTTGTCAAATGAGGACTCCTCCGACCTCTTGCAATTTACCCCCTTCTTCCCCACCTCCACCCCTTTTCCATGATGCAAAATGCTGTTACTTGGAGATGCTCAGCAAGAAAGCCTGGGGACGTGCTAACTCAGCCCGGGCAGGCGGGCAGGCAGGCTGGCAGGCAGGCAGGCAGAGCTGGCTGCTGCTTTAACCTATTCATGACCAGAAATTCTAAGAGCCCGCCTGGCAGCAGAAAAAAAAAAAAGGTACCGTGCCAGCAGAGGGAGGTCCCTGATGATTCAGAAGCAGACAGGAGAGGTCAGTCCAGAGCTGCAGTGAGTGTTGAGGTGTTTCGAGCCAAAGCCAGACTTCCTGAATAACTCCCCCTCCCCCACCCCTCCAGGTCAGCTTCTAGCTCCAAAGGGAACCTGGGAAGTTTCCCCACCTAGGGACCAAGAGGGGCTTTCCTCGAATCCTTCCAGCATCTGTTATAACCACTGCAGGAACTGTATATTGCCTGCGCATTTGCTGATTACAAGGATGCTAAGTTTAGAAAGGCTACCTCATCTGAGGCCAGTAAGTCAGTGGTGTTCTTGAGGAATTCAGAGGCTCCCCTTTACGGGCACCAAAAAAGAAGGGGGAAAGCTGCAAGTTAGTCCAAAGCAGCACCTCAAAGACCTATGTGTCATAGCTCTTCCGTAAAATGAGGGATGGGGATATGAACAGGTAGTTTTCAAATGAAGAAATGAAGCGTATCAACCAGCAAGCATATAAAAATGTTCCAAATCACTAACAATAAGAAAAACACAAATTAAAACAACTCTGAGTTTCCACATTATACCCATCAGATTGGCAAAAATGACAATTGTTGGAGGGACTGGGGGAACACAGGCACACCAACACACTCACTTTTGGTGGAGTTGTAAATTGTTCCAACCATTCCATAACACACTTTGGAACTATACCCTCCAACTCAGTAAAATGTACATACCCTTCGACCTAGCAATACCACTACTGAGCACATACCTCAAAGAAGTCAGAAAGAGGGGAAGGACCCACATGTTTAGAGGCAGTTCCTTGTGTTGTGGCAAAGAATTGGAAACAAAATGGTCATCCATCAGTTGGGAATGGCTGAACAAATTGTGAAATAGATAAGATAGATAGATAGGTACATAGATAGATAGATAGATAGATAGATAGATAGATAGATAGATAGATAGATAGATAGATAGATAGGTGATAGGTAGGTATGTAGATAGGTAGATAGAGAGAGAGAGAGGTAAATAGATAAGTAGATAGGTAGGTAGATAGATAGACAAACAGACAGATAGATAGGTGGATAGGTAAGTAGGTAGATAGATAGACAGACAGGTAGATAGATAGGTGGATAGACAGGATCCAGTGGCGAGACAAAAGATGAGATGTAGACAAAGACTTGTATGAACTGACACAGGGTGAAGTGAGCAGATCCAGGAGAATAACTCACACAATGACCACAATAAAGTGAAGGAAAACTCTGAAAGACTACAGAATTTTGCTCAATACAGTGAATAATCAGGACTTCAGAAGGCTGATAGTGAAGCATGTTGCTCACCTCAGACAAAGAGGTTATAGACTAAAGATGCAAAATGAGACACATTTTCAGATGTGGCCAATATGTTGGTTTTACTTGGTTGATTTTACTTACTCATTATAAAGAAGAACTATTTGGAGCAGGGAAATCACTTAACCTCTCAAGCCTCAGTTTCCTCATCTGTAAAATGGGAATGTGGGAATGATAATAATAGCATAATAGTAGTATGTGCCAATAGAGATAATAAAAAAGAACATCAATAAAACATTTTTAAAAAATAAACAGAAATAAAAAATATCAGAAGGGGAAACAAACGGGGTGGTTTTATTCCTACAATGTTAATGAAATAGAAATGTTTTACATCAGATGTGATAGTGAATGCCTGTAATCATGGCTACTGAGCAGTCTGAGCATGAATCTCCTATGCTTGAGAATCTCTAGTTGCACTTGGCTGAGTCAATCTGATGTCCAAATCACACGCTGAGCCACCAGGAAGGGGGAGGGAAGGTTGCTTGAGGAGGGAAGAACTGACCTAGGTTGGAAACAGAGCAAATCAAAGCTCAATCATGGCATTGAACCTTGGAACAGCCCTAGTCCTTCCGGCCTGGTTATGTGGGAAAGGTAGGGGGGCCAGGAAACTTAGTCTCACAATATAAAATAATATAATAAAAAATTAAAAAAAACACTTTTTAAAAGGTACAAAATATAAGTTCAGGTTTCACCTGTAACATTCTTTATTGTCCTTCATATAGTGAAATGATCCTGTCTGCTGCTGATCATTACATTTATAGTGACAAAGAAAATAAAAATGAAACAGGAGACTGGACAAGATAATGTCTGAGGTCCATCTCTGCTCTAAATCTATGATTCTCTAGGAATTACTCTGGTTTAAGAAGCGAGTTGGTTGTTTTGTGGGCTTCTTATTTTAGAGGGCAAGAGATAAAATTACAGCTGGTATTGGGGTCAGAGAGTCTGTCTGATGGAAGCATTCATTCCCTTTATTTAAGCTGCCTCTTTGCTGGGGCTGCTATCCAGGTCAGTGGGGTTTCAAAAATGAATCGTCTGGGGCAGGAAACGCGGCAGAGAACCAGGGAAAAGTAGAATTGGAAGGTCCCTTTGGGACGGTATCCTGAAATGGGAAGAGGCCTGGCTTTGGAGTCAAGACCTGAATTCATGTCTCAGCCCTGGGGCCTTCTGCAATCACTTACCTCTCTTGACTTCAGTTTCCTCACCTACATAATGAGACGCTCAGACTCATACCTAAATTGCCACCTCTGGTACATTCTATCTGTGTAACCCTGGGCAAGTCAATCAAGTTAATCTTGTTGGGCCTCAGTTTCCTGATATGTAAAATGAAGGTGTTGAACTAGATAACCTCTGAAGACCCTTCCAGCTCTGGAACTAGGAACCTAAGCCACTTAAACTCCCTGGGCCTCAGTTTCTTTATCAATAAAATAAACAATTGAAGTAGGTGGCCTGTGAGGTCTCTTGTAATTCCAGGTATCAGATCCTAATAGGAGGAGGAGGAGGAGGAGGAGGAGGAGGAGGAGGAAAAGTAGAAATAGTGGTAGTAGTAGTAGTAGTAGTAGTAGTAGTAGCAGCAGCAGCTAGTATTTATATAACACTTTAAGATTCACAAAGTGCTTTACAAATACCTCATTAGATCCTCACAACAACCTTGGGAGGTGCTATTATTATCCACATTTTACAAATGAGGAAACTGAGGCAGACAGCAGTTAAGTGATTTGCCCAGGGTCACAGCTAGTGGGTATCTATCTAAGGCTTGATTTGAACTCTTAATTCTAGGCCTTCTTAATTCTTAATTCTAGGTCTTCTTAATTCTTCTTAATAATTCTAGGTCTTCTTAATTTTAGACCTAGTGTTCTATCCACTGTACCACTTAGTCCTAAGCCATTAACTTCTCTAGGCCTCAGTTTCCTCATCTGTAAAATGAAGAGATAGGACTAAATGCCCCCTAAGGTCCCTTGATGTACCTACGAGGATGGCTATTTTTTTTTTTTTTTGGCAATCCAGTTAAGTGACTGGCCCAGGATCACACAGCTTTTGTCTGAGGATAGATTTGAACTCAGGAACACGAGTCTTCCTGACTCCAGGCTCAGCACTCTATCCACTGCACTACTTAATTGCCCCAAATAGGTGCTTAATAAATGTTTATTGACTGAACCCGCTCTAGGTTTATGGTCCTAAGTCACTTAGGCTCCCTGGGTTTCCAGTGTCTTCGTTTTGTTAAATGATGATAATAATAGCTTTTACCTTACTGGGTTGTTGTGAGAATCAGAGAAGGTAAGATACATTAAGTGTTTTGCAAACCTTAAAGGGCTATATAACACTAGCTGCTGTTATTATGATCTTTTTCTCATTTTTTTCCAATGAAGTTCAAATGGAAATGATCCTGGAACAAGCCTCTGTCTTTCTACTAGCCTTGTATAGTTAATGTTTTATGGGCCATTACACAAGTAGATAAAATACTGCTTGCTGAATTTACAGTAGAAGTATTTGACTCTGAGCTTATTCTTTGAGAGTTCTCTGAAAGAGCATCTAGTAGCATGCAGGGCCACAGGGATGCCATGAACCTGCCCCTGTTCCCATGAGATCTCAGTCTCCTCTGCTAGGTCTCCATGCTTTGA